CCCCCGGCCCCGCCCCGCACGTGCCCCGCGCGGCCAGGGGGCGGGGCCTGCGGGCACCCGCGCGGGAGGCCTCCGCCCATTCTACAGGTGGGAAGACTGAGGGCGCGCTCCCCCCCAGATCAGATCAGCGCCCTCGCCCACTGACCGCGGCCACGCTCTTCAGGGATGGTTCGAGAGATGCCTGCCTGGAAAGGGGGCCCAGCCAAAGTTGGGGTTTGGGCGTCCCCCTGCCACCAATGCTGACGCCAGCTTTTGCGGGTGCTGCCAGCCCCATCCCTGCCACCGACGTCGGCTTCTGTGGGCGCTCGCCAGCCCCGTCCCCACCACCGAGGTCGGCTTCTGCGGGCACTCGCTAGCCCCGTCCCTGCCACCAATGCCAGCTTCTGCAGGTGCTCACCAACACCATCTCCAACACCGGCTTCTGCGGGTGCTCACCAGCCCCATCCCCGCCACTGGCTTCTGCAGGTGCCGCCCCAGACTCAGGAGGTGCCAGTCGCCTGTGGAGCAGTGGCGCTCTTGCGAGCGCGGCAAAGCACTTTGGATGCAGCCCCCAGCGTCCTCGAATGGCCACCAAGCAACCTCCGTGCCACAACGAGAGGCCACGCGCTGCCAGTGGGTTAAGTCGGGCGCCTGAGAGGTGGGAAGCCCAGGCTCCCTCCCGCGAGCTCCCAGGGAAGCCATGGTCTAGCAGTGAACATCTCTGTAGTTTCCATCCCTGCGGATGGAGATAAGCAAGGCACCGTTTTCAAAAGCAGGTGCCTAAAGTTAGGCACATCGCTCAGTGGCCTCATTTGCCAAAAGGCTGAGTAGCTGTGGGAACTGGCATCAGGTTCTCCAGGCTTTGGATTGGGCCCGATATCTGACCACCAATTTAGCTCCCTAAATAGGGTTTAAAGTGTGCGGCTTTATGAACCCAAATTTGACAGAACTGGCCAATAATACCTGCACACACTGAGGCACATGGATCTCTTCAGATGGGAAATACTGTGTAAGGGCAAAGGATCAGTTACGACTGCATTATTACTAATTACGGCACAAGTGTTTATGAATTATGGCCCGGCCTAATTTACAGACAGCAATTTCAGAGTGAAAGTCATTCAAGTCCCTTAATGATCCCCTGAATAATCCAATCCCAATTAAAATGAAAAGAATAGTGTGTCATTGTATTGTTTAGTCTGGTACTACCATTTTTGCCTACCCTGCAGACCCATGTGTGACTCTTGCCTTTTTTAATGTGACAACATTCACACTCACAACAGAAAATAATGAGGGGTAAAGCTCAAAATGTTGTGAAATTCTTTTCATATTATATATATATATATATATATATATATATATATATTCTTTTTTTCTTATCTTCCTAGTTTCCAGACGGCGTTTTTCTAAGATAAAAAAGTGAGTGTTACTAATGAGATAATATCCAGTTTATGGGGATAATGTTAGATTTACTCGAGTGTGAGCTGAGAAGTAAATGAGGAACAATACATATATTCCAATTAAGGATTTCAAGTGTACATCATCAGGGAATCTGGTTAGTGTGTCCATGCAATACTGCCCTCTCCAGGAAGCAACCAGATCCACAGGACTGTGTCTTGGGGCCTTAGGTAAATTGGTAGCAGGGGCTTCACTGATACACTGCAGTTTGAAGTGGCAACATGCTCACAACCCAAATGACCTTACATTTGCCACAGCGTTCTGCACAAATAACGTCAAAGAATTAATTTTAAACACATTACACTGTTGTTTACTTGATCCTCTCATCCCCATCCTCATCCAGTTACAATAATTTCTTATTATCATTTATTGTGGTAGTGCCTAGGCAACCCGGTCAGGAATTGGGACCCCCTCGAGTTAGGCATTGTATACACATAACAGACAAGACAGAACATTTCCCAAAGAACTTGCAATAAAGACCCCAAAATACATATACCTTCTACCTACCTATCGGTGCCAATATAATGTTCACTCTCCCTCTCTATGAGATGTAAATTGTTTGACACTGGTAACGCAGAATTGTGAAATTTCACTCATGGGTACTCAAACGGTGCTATGAAATTAAACCTCACATCATCAGTATAAGATTGATGGAGTTTAAGGCCAGAAGGGATTATGATGATGCTGTAGCCTGACCCCTTGCATAACACAGGCCAAAGAATCTCATCGGTAATTTCTGCCTCAAGTCTATAACTTCTGTTTGAGCTGTAGCATATCATAAGCATCCATCGCTATTATTTATCATGTCACTTCATTCCACATGGCACTAGAATCTCATCATGCTAAGAGACTCGCATGCTTCTCGACTCCTAAGCTAGCTGCAGATGTTCATGTTTTCCTAAGACTCCAGAATGCATTGTGAACAGGGCAGTTTCTAAGCATCAAAAGACTCTGACTTAAGGGTTAGGTGTCAGGTCAGCCTCCTGCTCAAATTTTCTTTTGCCAATTTAACCTGCACCTTTAACTTCATGTTACCATACTTTTTGTGCTAATAGAACACCAGAGTCTGGAGCAAAATACCTCTACAGCACACTGACAACTCCGCTTTGTTGCCTCCCTCACTAG